TCCATAGCATTTTACAGCACACTCTGGGTGGTTTACAATGTCAGCATATTGCCCCCCCCCCAAAAAAATCTGGGTCTTCATTTTACCAAATTCTGTAGGATGGAAGGCTGAGTCAACCTTGAGCCCCACCAGGATCAAACTCCAGGCTGTGGACAGAGTTTGCCAGCAATACTGCACTTTAACCACTGCACCATTAGAGTTTTATATCCTTCCATTGCAGAACTGCCTTCTATTTAGAACAGAATAGCGTAAAAAACCCGAAGCTGCTTAACTGGATTTGACTAGGTGGCCATTCTTTGTGACCACATAAACAAACTTTCTTTGACATTAACACAACCAGTACAAGGAAAATAAAGAAAAATGTTTACCTTTCTTCTTGACTATTTTAAATATTGAAATTTTCTTTCCCTCTTATGCTAGAGCAGGGGTGTTAAACTCACAGCCCGTGGGCTGGATGTGTCATGCTGGAGAGCCGAGGTGGCGCAGTGGTTAAATGCAGCACTGCAGGCTACTTCAGCTGACTGCAGTTCTGCAGTTCGACTGTTCAAATCTCACCGGCTCAGGGTTGACTCAGCCTTCCATCCTTCCGAGGTGGGTAAAATGAGGACCTGGATTGTTGTTGGGGGCAACACGCTGACTCTGTAAACCGCTTAGAGAGGGCTGAAAGCCCTATGAAGCGGTATATAAGTCTAACTGCTATTGCTATTTCTATTGCTATTTCTAAGGGCCTTTGGCAGTTCCAATTTCACTGATACAGGATTTCTAATTTTGATAATGGGAAATGGACCCACATATTTCAGACCCAATTTCTTCGATTTCAGGGTCGTTTGCAGAAACTTAGTGGACAAAAATACCCTTTCTCCAATCTGTTACTCTTTTGGCTTGGCCCTTTTTTTGGCAGCTTTTTTTTTGGTGCGCTTGGTGAGCCGCATCTAAGGGCTTGCAGGTCATCGGCCAAAACCATTGAAGTTGATTACTCCACTCGGACAAGGACAAAATCTGCGGCTTCTCTTGAGGCAATTTACCTGTGCCTTTACTCCCAAGTCAGCCCTTGTTCCTTAACTGTTCTCTTCTCCTGGCAGCTCTGCACATGCGCACATCAGGAACAGGCTCCAGCTGTTCTTCTGTGTCACTGATGTCCAACTCCGAAGGCAGCTGATGATTGTCGGGCGACCCTGGCCCCATCTCTGCCTCCAACACAGAACACTTATCAGAGCCTTCCCCAGGCTCCAGGAGTGGCCCATGTTCTTCCCCAGCCTTCCCACTCTCTGAGTCTACCACCAGCTCCACTGGCCGCTGGCAGGCCACGGTTCCACCACAATACCACAAAGCCCTTATCTTTAGCGACGCGGTTTTATCACCGCTATTTTGACGAGCGCGGTTTTGTCGTGCCACGCAGGCCACAACAGTAACAGTACAATATATCAGTTAGTTTTTCAGCCTAGTCTAGGCTGGTACCTTGCTTTTAAAGAACCTAAAAACATCTGAAAATGAGAGAATGAGGATCTATGCCATCCAACCCCCTTGTCTGAAAAGAACTGAATGGTCCGTGAGCAAACAAAGCCATTTGGTGCTCTTCCAATCCCATTCATTTTTTCTAACCTTGGTATCGAATAGGGAATTGGGGCTCCTCTAGAAATCATTAAACTTTTAAGAAGTCAGGACTCAATTGCAATTCAAAACCAGGAAAAAGTTTGGAGTTTTTCTTGCGGCTCCATTTTCTTTTGAAAAACTCACCATTACTTAAACATTTCAGTTAGAAAAAAGGTGGAAGGGACCTTGGAGGTCTTTTAATCCAACCAAGCAGGAGACCCTATACTTTTTCGGACACATGGCTGTCCAGTCTCTTCTTAAAAACCTCCAGTGATTTCTGGAAGCCCCCATGATTTCTGAAAGCAAGTTGTTCTACTGGTTAATTGTTCTCACTGTTAGGAAATCTCTCCTTAATTCCAGGTTGCTTCTCTCCTTGATTAGTTTCCATCCATTGTTTCTTACCTTTCCTCCGGGTGCTTTGGAAGATAAGTTGACCCCCCCTCTTTTTTGGGGGCAGCCCCTCAAATACTGGAATACTCCTCTCATGTCACTAAAAGCCCTTCTTTTATTCTGTGATAAAAATTATGATTTTATCCAGTCATTTTTGCCGAGTCACCAGTCACAAACATTAATGGAGTTACATCAACGTGGTCCAATTTATTATCATTAATAATTGTTCTTTTGATAGGGAGTCCTTTTTTCATGGACAAAACATTTCAAAGTCCGAGGGGTACAACAGACGGATGTGGTGAGCAATCTGTGCAAAGCCCTCAGAAAGCACAAGGCAAGTTAAACCTAATAAGGTTTCTGAATAACCTGCGTTTCAGCTGGTGTGTATATATATCGTTTGTCAATATGCATGCTGAATGAGAACAGCTGTGTTGCTCTATAATGGCAAAACAATCAAGATTCTGATAGCACCAGTTTTGACTTTTATTAACAGGCACAAGCTAACGTTTTTTTAATAAAATGTTGGAAAAGATACCACCAGATTTCTGTGGAATGTGCATACCAGTGGTGAAATTCAATTTTGTTTTACTACCGGTTCTGTGGGCATGGCTTGGTGGGTGGGGTGTGGCTTGGTGAGCGTGGCTTGGTGGGCACGGCAGGGGAAGGATACTGCAAAATCCCCATTCCCACCCTACTCTGGGGTGAGCCAGAGGTAGCATTTGCTGGTTCTCCGAACTACTCAAAATTTCTGCTACCAGTTCTCCAAACTACTCAAAATTTCTGCTACCAGTTCTCCAAACTACTCAAAATTTCTGCTACCAGTTCTCCAAACTACTCAAAATTTCTGCTACTGGTTCTCCAGAGCCTGTCAGAACCTGCTGGATTTCACCTCTGGTGCATACTGAATCTGACACACACAAAAATTGTCCTGTTCATTATTTCAAAACCAGACAACCCATGGCCCCTT